TATGACCATGTATTATTTTAACAAATTTTATTTGAAAATTCAGCTGTGAGTTATGGTATCTGCAATGTACTCGTATATTATATATTAAATATTTTGTAGAGAAGTATAGCAATTTTGTTTATTTATATATTTGAGATATGTAAAAAGTATATATGTTCCTACCTTGGTACATCGTTTTACATTTATTCACTTTTATCGTTACTTGTTAGTTCATAAAATTGCTCAATGACTGATTCTATTGATTTATACTATATATATATTGTTTTCGATTAATTTTAATTAATACATCTGTTTATTAATATTTATATATGTACACTTTTCTTTATTTTTGTTTAATTTAAATGCGGTTTTACAACAAAACAATTATTCATTACTTTTCCCATGTGTTATTTATTTATACAACACTACACGACCGCTGTATAGTTTTCACAATGTTATGACAATGTAACAGGCAAACATTTTGTAATTTTCGTACTTTTCAACAGACTCCATTGTACTCGGAAACATTGAATAGTCGGTGACAGTCAACTCGACAATGATAATATGCATGTACACTATAAAGTATGAGAACTAAAGTACGTTTTGAAAGGGTTTTTTTTAGAAAAAAAAAAGATTAAATAAACTAGCAAGTATTTTTTTATGTTAATGATTAATGGATAAGTAATACCGAGTTACTGAATAAGTATAAATAATGTGTTTTAGTACATCTATTCTTTTTTGCACTAAAATTTAAAGCACATTTTTGTGTTATGTTTATGAAATAGTTATTTTCAATACAACACATTACTTTAAAAATGTTAAAATTATTGTACATTTTATCCAATTTTGCTGTTTAAAAACCGTCAGTCATTAACCAAAATATTGTATTAACATTTAACATGTATGTATTTAGAATTACATTATCAAAATAAATGTTAATAACCTTGATATTATCAATTATTCAAACGGTATAAACTAAAGCTATGTTGCATACACGTGTGTATATGTATGTTATTATGCATTGGATTGGCTTCCAGTGTAAAATGTCATCCAAAGGGTGAACGGCTGCATACTGTTGACCATTAACAATGTTATTTTAATTCACTTCTAACACAGAAAAGAATAACACTGTAAAATAGAAACAGTTAAACAAACGGACAATTAATCGGCATTCAATTATTTTTATACTGACAAAAATCGATATGGTTCATGATTGCGTCATCTAAGAAATTACTTTAAGAATGGCGTTTACAGTAGTGTGTGTGTGTATCCTGCAAATTACATTTTTTTACGAAGTTAAATGTCAAACGCTTACTTTAGCTATTTGGTCAATAAGTAGGGCTTAGCAGTTGGCTTTTGGCCGCACCAATTTGTGGAACAAGTTAAAAGATTTAATTATTATTTGTGTTGCATAGACAATAATTTGTAAAACTGGCACCATTAAATATTTAGCCCAATAAATTTCATTCATAATGTGTTAGTCAGTTTTTTATTATTGCATACGGCTATTATTAACCGGGAGTACGTTTTAAGCACTAGTTCAGTCGCTTAAGAGAAGGATATGGCCTTACCCACACGGTCACTCATCCTCCATGCATTACTATAGGTCAGATATATATTTTTCGTTATTTAATAAGTGTAATGTTATTGCATAAAGGATAGTTTTTAAAGAGGATTAGTAAATTGTTACATTGTCTATTGTTAAATTTGATCAGAAATCAAACAATTAATAAAAAAACATATTCTTTACACAGGGATATTACTGTTGCGTGAAAAAAAAACTATATATTTTTTATGTTATAGAGCTAAATAATATAATCTATTAATTATTACACACAATTTATCATTCGGGTTCTATTGTAGAAAAAATAAATAAATCCTGATATATTATTTATTACAAGGTGCAGTATATGCAACACATATTACAAGCTGGAGTGCAAAATGCGTAGAGTCCAATTAAGCTTAACTGGTGAGAACGGTTATCAGTATTTTAAATAATCCACTATCGTATTTCATAGTTCATAAATTAATGGTTTAATTGAAAATAAGTAAAATTACATATTCGATCAAAATTAGTTTATGGCATTATCTGATTAAGAATAGCAAGGGTTTTTTGTTAAGGCCCCTGGATACCAGCAATTTGTTTTAGACAAAACACATTATTTTTTGTCCATCGCACAAGCCGAACCAATGATCCAATAAGCAACCTAAAAACAGATATGAATTCGTCATGAAGTTTACTGGAGATCAGTCAGAGTATTTTTTCAATTTTTAATTTTAACCCTTTTCAAATTTTATTTTAAATTTTTTTTAAATGTTCAAACGTCTTTTATGCGTAGTAGGGATAAGATATCAAAAAAGTACCCTGATCGATTATAAGTAAACTTCATAAAGAATTCAAATCTGTTTTCAGATTACTTATCGGATCACTGGTTTAGCCTGTGCGATTGACAAAAAATGTACTATTATATTAACTAAAATGGCTTTTACTCATAGACAAAATGATTTAAATTAAAAATAATACCATGAAGCTTATACAAATTAACCGGTAAACTAATTGACTTTTTCGACATTTATTCAAGCCACTTTTTTCATAAATATTGCCTATACAAAACTCCTTAAAAATGGTCGGTATCCAGGGGCCTTAACAAAACTTGGTAAAATGTAAAATTCGTAGTTACTGTTAAAAAAAAGGAAAAACTTCAAACTGACCTTCTGTGAAATCGTCATTTTGTACCAACAACATATCTGGTTAAACCATCGATTAGCAGTTGTAGAAGATTTTTTAAATAATACTATAAAAACAGTAAGCGGTTAACAGTGCGGAGGTAAATAATTTTTAAAATAAAACCAAAGTTTACCGTTCGCTTAACTCAAACTGATGGAACAAATATTTTATCAGGGACGTTACATCATTACCCAAGAGATCTTACAATAGAAACTCCGAAATGTATCATACAGTGTATAGTACAATATTCTATTTGAGCAGAAGCCATGGATTACTCAGTGTAATAGAATTCGTGAGATGTATTTTAATGTGAATCCCTAAAGGAATTTATAGCTCTCAATATTCAATTATATTTTAAAAAATTGTTTTATTTTTTTTTTAACAATTTTAAAGTCCAGTGAAAGTTTAATGTTTCTCGAGACTTAAATCAAAACGTAATACAAACTTTAAAAGCGGAGAAGGCCACGACATACCATATAAATAATAGGCCAGCTGAATCTCCAAACGTACTCAGGATTCCGAAAAAAAGTAACCTCTAATTTAAAACCCAGATATAAAATGTATTTGTTTATATGTTTATAAAAAAAAACCTAGTTGGCCTATGTTTAAGCAGGGTAATTGAAAATGAGCAGACATTTGAAAAAAATATTAATTATCCCCATAAAATTTTTAATTTAATTATTTCTATAAAGTTAATTAATAGCAGCTTTATTGTTAATAACATATTTTATTAATATAATATAAATAAATAGTTTGTACTTGCTTTACTATGATGAAGGTACAACACATTTTTGCAATATGTTTGAAATAAAATGCGAAGTATATCTACACGTTTTATATATTTTTTTTTTTTGCTGAATCCGAATCTAGTCTCAAACAATTTATAACACATACAATTTTTGATTTAATATCCTTAAAAACGGTAAGCAACTTAAAAAGGAAAATCAGAATTTTTAATTTTCTTTTTTACATAAACTACCAATTAAATTCTCCATTAGTTATGACTTATGTTACTAACTCTAAATTTATCAAAGAGGATAGAATAACAAACCCCTATTTTAAATACATTTAAGAAACAATTTAACTTAAAACTAAACATGACTAGACGTGCTTAAAAAATTTGAGGTTAGATTCAGAGTTATAAAATAATAGGATACACCTATCTTGGTTTTTGTATCAATACTGTGCTATACTGTGTAATTAACTACAATAAAAACACATAAAAATAATTAGTTTAAACGATGAACATTTGCATTAAATGGAAATGATAAAGCCACTTAAATACAACTCTGCCACGGCGTTCCCTGTCCCGTCGTTTCACCCCCTCTCCGTTGACTTTTCTTCCTCTTCTCCGCTCCCTTTCCCATCACTTCTCTCAATGTTTCTCCGTAAAATGTTTAGTGTCATCTGGCTATAGTAATACGTAAGACTAAAAATATAAATTTTCATATAAAGTTTATTTCTTTAAATTAAATTAAATATATATTATTATTGTCGTACGTTTAACCGTTTATAGTTTTGCTCTGAGTTTTGCTAAATAAAATTATAAATAAAAAAAATATATTTCATAACCTTTAAACGTTTATTTACAAGTGTCTTTTATTTCAATACAATGCAATTTTTTTCTATTTAAACTATATAGTAATGATACTTGATATTTTGTTTGAAATTTTTAACGCTGTTTTTATTTAACGACACGCCAGTTAAAATTTCATTGATTACTGTTTGTTATTATCAACGGACCGTTGTTATTATTTTATTTTTCAAAGTGTCAATGTAAATTGTTCATTCCATTGTTAGCAGCTAAGTATTTAAAAAACATAGCTTGACGTTTTGTGTTAACTAAATCGAGATTTACAAAACTTTAAATAAATAGTTACATGGGACAGATAATGCTTTCACGTAATACCTGTATAATAAACAAGATTAAAGTGAAACTGTATCCTAAATATTATACCAAGATAATTCCTGAAACAACCACTTTGCCTATTGCGCAAACACATAACTTAATGATAATTTCACTTACGCGAATTTTCAGCTCACTATATTATGTGCTATTTTGTATACTCAATACCATGCACGAGTTATTCTCAATACCTACTATTAATAATATCTGTACGTGCAAAGCAGCTCAACACTATAGAATTTATAAAAATAACGTTCGCACTTGAAGTTGGGCAGTTCAAAAGAGTACTTTTATAAGGACACGAGAATCGGTTTTGAGGGTTTTTAGAGTATAATAATAAAACCTATAATATTAATGCGAAAAATAGTGTATGGATGAGATACTAACCTCTTCTTCTGGCGTTTTAGCTTCATCTTGTTCTTTCTCGTCCAATTTGTTTAACAACTTGTCCTGCAAATGAACACGATCAAAATTTGATTATTATATTATATTTAGAGGAAGTAATGTGACCAACACTTCCCCCTCATTGGGTTTGTATATATAAAAAAAAGCGATTATTATTATTTCATATTATTAATTTTAATGTTATTTCGTACAAGTATTGTAATGAATATGATTAGACTACGGTATTGTCGTTGTAAGTGGACTATAGCCAATACCCGTTTTGTATAAAACAAAAAAAACTATGTTTTTCAGTCTAATATTATCCGATCACAATTATTAAAATTGCAAATTATTGGCGTTGATGTTTCTAATACTTATGATTGTATTAACAATTTCCTATAATACTTTAAATGTACGGACTTTTTGCGATGTAAGTTTACCGTTGGTTAAAGAAATGCTTAGACCCTTTATAAAAGTAAAACTAAATATAATACTAAATAGTATTTTTACTTTTAAATGTGTTCTCTCTAAGTAGTATTTGTGTATAAAGTTTAAATCATTTTTAACATTTTTGTACAATACTTTTTTAATGTTATTTTCACGACGGAGGATAACGTTAAGCAACTTCAACTACTGGCTACGGCCGCTGCGTTACTCAACACCACAGAGAATCGCTAAGGAACCGTAGGTACACGCCTTTCGTTTGGTGTCGATAATGAAATCGTTATCGAAAAATAAAACTCCACACTAACTTACAATTAGACACTCCTACGACTAGGGATCCGGATAAAGTTCTGATCATAATTTACATGTTAAACTACAACCAAAATATTTCTTTTGAACTTAAAAAAAAAATTTACTAAAATGTGAAATCAATTTTCTCATCATTAAAAGGTTTAGTATAAAATAAAATCTGTTTGTAAATAAACGAGACAAAATTGAAAATTTAATTATCTTTTTCCAAATTTTGACTTTAGAAATACTTACTGATGTTAGCTCGATGCAATTTATTATTAATTAAATCCAACATTCGATACAAGGCTAGGTTATTTTAGGTAAGCTAACATAATTGTTGACATTACGATAGGACACATTTAAGTTGTGTATATTAGCTGTCCGGTTCCATAACCGGGAAAATCTTATTGTATTTGGGACACGTTTAACTGCTGCTGTGTGTGTATACGTTTACCACATCGCCGACAATGACTAAAAAGAAAATTAAACTGTTTTTTTGGTGGGGTTCAGCATATACAGGCGGCAAACTGGCCAAAATCGATCCGACAGCAGTAGTAATTATTATCATTATTGACCATTCAATGGGCATATATTGTGCACAGGTATATTCGCACGTGTCCCATAACAATACGCGTAATATACAAGTGTGTATATAATAACATGTATTAATAAATTCTCGTATGTAAAAATTTGTATCGAATGTCAATAACGAGCGTTTTCGATGTTGAAACACGACCGCGGCCGTGACAAATTAATTGCAGCCGCGATTCGGAAGCGTTATTATTTATACCGTGTTAAACAATAATGAAACGTTATGTACGACGTTGGTGGATTGGCACCGTCATCGTTAAACATTCACGTGTGTGCAGAGCTCCTAGCCGGCCCAAGAAAATATTATGAAAAGTGAAAAATAAAATAAATATATTTGACCCTATTCGCTCCAAGGACGCGTCGCGTGCCGCAGTTGGAGAGATCAAAAATTCGCACTGTCAAAACAATAAACAAGGAAAAAACCTCAAGTATGCCGTCTCCGGTGTTGTTAAACCCGGTTTTTGTTTACTACCCGCATGTCTGGAGTTCATCGCCGCTAGCCAGAGTGTATACCGACTACACACAGTTACACGTCATGCATATGACTTGTATCCGTTTAATATTAGACTTTAGCTGCCCTTAACCACTACATTATTATTTGCCATACGACAAAAATCGTACGGCCGCCGATATTGTTGTGTTAGAGTCCGGTTACGGTGTTCAATATTATACGCGTTAGCCACGACCGTTTAGTAACAGACAGTCTGCCATACAGAGTCGGCGTCTGCTATTAAACGGTGACGTTAAAAAACAGCTGCCGTCGTACGTAACCCACCGTCTGATTAGTGAACACAATTTTAGTCTACGGGCCAAGGACAATAATATATAGAGTAATGCAAAATATGTTTATTATTAAGCTCAATAAAAATCGCGGTTTCCATCAGACGACTTGAGTAGGTAAACAATTCATAGCACCATTTAAAATAACTACAATCCAGACGGACAGTTGTATAATTAGATAATAATAATTATCAATAATTACCAATTTAAGAGCCAGGTTACGGATAGAAGCAACCGTTTATTTAAAAACCGCGGTCTCTTTGACTTTCAAGTTGCCCAATAACACTGTATACTATATTTAGTGTTTGGTACATGTCATCTTAGTAATAATACCTCATAGTAGTCATAAATGAAAATTTAAAAAGTTCAAAACACATAAAAAAAAGCATAATATGGAAATGAATAGGAAATACAATTTAAAAATAAATAAATATACATACATATTTAAAACTATACATATATACGAACTATAAAAATGATGGGTAGTGCAAAACTTTATTTGTTAAATCGTATTTGGACCAATCACAATGCTCTAATAAGGGTTTATGGAGCCAATAAAGTTTTGTGTAATCAAGCATACTATAATGTACAATAAAATAGTATTTACAACACTTGCGTATGGTACACACACTATAACACGATCGGATAATCCATGATGATCATAATATCTTGTCGTTATATCTGTATATTATATTCAACATGGGTTTTATTTGGGGAAAATAACTTATGTGCATGGTTTATATTGAATACTTAATTATAATATAAACTTATAAAAAAAAATGTTGTCAACCTGTGTTATGGGTAAAGTGTTGAACTTGATGTAAAATTTACATAAGGGCCTTATTTCTCCGGTTCATCAACAGAGATAAACTGTGCGTGAAAAATTAAATAAAGAAAAAGTCTCCACCGGTAGTGGCAAAACGAAGTCATGTATTTTTGGTTTTAATAGGTAAGTTTAAAACAAAAGAATTTCCCGGCAAAATTTGGAATGATTTCGACTCTTTTTGGAAAGTTTTGGGGTACTTTTTTAAGAACTAAAATATACTTTATCAGTTTCGAAAGTGTTTTATTCTCGATTTCGATTGAGAAATAAAAATGAGTGAATTATTTAACCCTTAATATGGAATGGAATGTGTCCAATAACTGTTGACATGCGCCCAGACCTAGTTTTAAAAATAAAGTCTTATGTTTATTGTTATTCTTGTGTTTAATTGTTATTTATTTTCTATTTTAAAAAATAATTATTAATAATTTCGTGGCAATAAAAGCGTACATTTTCTCTCCGTTTAAAATGATTAACTAAATAGAGAAACAAACTTAAATTGTAAATTTTAAAGTATTATAAATTATATACCCCTACAATACTACTATTGCTAAATATGATATAATCCAATTAATCAGATATAATAATTATCGATTAATAATAAACGTTCTAAACCAATTATAAAAATAATGGGTTTTCTTACACGTTTATTTTAAATACATAATAATATATAGAATGACGGGTTGTGAAATTTTGTTTAACACGTTGGGTAAATTTGTATACAGCATAAGATGCATTGCGGTTTCAAATGATTCGCTATTGTAACAAAAAAAAATGTAAGTATATTTTAAAATTATCATGAGACTTGGGTGCAAACCAGCCAAGTGGCGGGGAGACCAAACAAATATACATTCGCAAACCCTGTGGCCGCTGAGACTGTTTAGTTGTGTTTTCCATTCAAACAACGCGTAATCTGTGTCAGGTGTTCGCATAACGTTGCACTAATTTCGCCGGCATGTTTTCGCGTTAGGCGCGTGATCGCATAAAATATTACAAAATTGAATGAAAAAATTGTTTTTATAAAACCCCGGTCTCTCGAGATGTTTTGTGATGCTAATTAAACATTATGGTAGCAGCCTTAGGTGCGTTAGCGTGCATGACGTTCACGTTTTTTATGGGTAAGCACGGTTTGCGAATCGTATTAAAACAATAACAATATAATATGTATATTATACTTCCAAACCTTGTATAGGGTATCTTCATAGTTTAAATAACTTGAGGAGAATTATATTAACTGGTGCACCAATGTTTGGAAGCCTAGTATCTTCTAGGACTGTGGCTCTGGCTCAATATTTTTCATATTGCTGTTTGAGGATAGAAGATAGTATGTCAAACCAGAACCACAGTCATAAAAATGGAAATATCTGGCTGTACCTATATAATATTATACAAAGAAGTACTGTTAAGCGACTTTAATAATATATAATAACAACACAAATTAAGTACTTAAATTTATATGTTTATGTCAATTTGCTGTGTCCACAGCCAACACAAAATATGTGCAGCTTACTTTATATTTATTATTTTTTTAAATAAAGTTGTTTATATTATATACTATTACGATATTAATTTATTAGTTTTGTAATAAGTTAGGTTGGTTTAGGCTAGTCATTCACCCTAGATACGCAATAATTATATAAAAAAATTGATTTAATTGTCACACAAGTTCTTTAGTAGATTAGTTATAACTTTGTACTTAGTTTTCTATAAATATATACTTATACATATATATATATATATATATAATTATTCAATAATAGGTAAAATGTGAATTTTGAAAATGCGTTATTTGTTTACTAGTTTACTGTTGACTATAATGATATATCGTTGATAATATAGGTAAAAACCCGTTTTCCGCTACTATGACACCCAAAGGGCAATGCGAAAACTGCTGTCCGATCGATATCAGGGAAGACATCGCGTTTTTCTCCTATTCGAGGTGCGTACAAGTGAGGACTTGAGTATGAACACTTACATAGTTTTCGTACCTAATATGCTCAACAGACTACGCTGTGTTGTCGTGGTGGTGGTTCACCTATAAAGTAGAACAATAATATATAATTACATAAAAAAATACCGATTAAACATTTAGGAAAAACCCAATTCGGCCACACCGGATATTTATCGGCAACGATGAATCACTGCGAAGAACTCACATGCACAGGAACATGACTACAGTGATATACGTACATGGATTCACGGAACAGGGAAACTCAAAGGGAGCGACTACCATTAAAAAAGGTACACTGATGACATAAAGCTCTGTGTGTGTTATAGTCACAATCGATTCTACGGTTATATGTGTGATTCCACAGCGTACTTGTACCGAGGCGGAGTGAACATCATAATCGTAGACTGGAGCCCGTTGTGTGCGTTCCCATGGTATAGTCACGCAGTGATAAATACCAGAGCAGCTGGCCAGTACGTAGCTAGGTTCATCGAATACTTAGTGTCCCGAGGGTTCATGTTGTCTAAAATCCACTTGATCGGTTTTAGCCTGGGCGCCGAGATCGCCGGGTTCACCGGCAAGAACCTTAGAATCGGAAAGCTTCCCAGAATAACAGGTCAGCATGATAAATCAATTTCAATAGTGTTTAATTTTCCTCCAAAATGATATTTTAATAAATCCGTTATTGACGAGTAATAGATAATAAAAAAAAAGTGATAATTTCCTGTTTTGTTCCTTTCTAAATACACGATTTGTTTTTTGTTTTCTTAATAGAAATATTTCAATATTGCTAATAGTTTAAATAAATTTAAATTTATTCATAATATACACCCAGTCGATAATGTGAACAATACTGACGCCATACTGTAAGATATCATGCATTTAGCTAGACTCATTTGAACGGATTTAATAGATTCTTGTCGTCGAGTCGAAAATTTCAAAGCAACCGACCATGTAAATGGCTGTTACCAAAATAAATAATATTACTACTATAGTCATTATGCGAAAATTGGTCTATTGTAAGTACGCACAATGTTATTCATACCATAGCATAAGCAAATTTGTCGACACATAATAGTGTGTAATAGTTATATTATATTACAGACAAAATTTCTCATTAAAGTATTCTTCTTTTATTATTATCACGTCGCATCTATAAAATTCTCAATTTTCCATACACGATACGGTATTGTAATATAAACACATATACCTAGTTCTTATTAAAACTGGCGTTGTATCAATGACCGTATAGGCAAGACGGTGTACTTTATTAAAATAAAAGAAAACTTAAATAAATATTTTTCTAGTTACGATAAGTAATCAAAAACAATGTTTTGAGGTGCCATCATGGGGACGTTAGGAAAAGTTCCAATGCAATAGTGTTTTCGAATTTGAATGAATGGTAAACGACCACCCATTTTTTATCCAATTTTCGACACTAACATTATTGAACGTACTCATGTGTCGTTGTCTTATGTCGATTTTGTAATATACATTGTTATGCAGGCCCACAATAAGGTGTAGGAGAAATGTAAACAAGAATGTCTTCTCCATTCTCGAACACAAACCCGTTTAAAGGTTTAAAGGTTTAGCAACGGCGCTTTGCCCTTTTTCTTACGAGCACCTTTCCGAAACGACTTGAGACGACACCTGCGCCTCGACGACCGATATTAATAAGGGAAAAGAAAGGGAACGGGTAGTTGGAAAGGGGTAGGTGGAGACGCGAGTGCGTTGAACGCGAAAAGGTTAGGTCAGGATATAATGTAATACAGAAATGGGTATAAAATATACTAACTACTATGACACGTAAATTATTCAATATGTATACCCTAATTATTAGGTGTATTATTATTAACCCGCTACTCAAAATGCATATGGATTTATTGTACGGCATTAAAGCTTTGTGTTTCCTTGTATATATAGGACTCGACCCAGCGTTTCCATTGTACATGTGGACCGGCAAGAAAGGTCATCTGGCGCCATCGGACGCCGAGTTCGTGGACGTGATACACACCGATGCCGGAGTGTTTGGATTCCCAGTGCCGTTGGGCCATGCTGACTTCTTTCCTAACGGCGGATTTCCTGTCCAACCCGGTTGTTCAATTCGAGAACTCACGGAGACCAACCTTATCACCAGACTCAGTGGGTACTCGATCGACTGAATGATAAAACGCAAGGGGGGGGGGGTGCAATGTAAATTTCGATTTTCTTTTGACCTGATCGACAGCGAAAAATTAATAAAAATTATTAACCGCAAAATATTTCAAATTATAATTTTAAAATGGAACATGCTTTAGCCTTGGCCCCCGCCCGAAAACGACACTATATTGCGATACTTAAGTAGCGCAATAACTAAGCAACAAGATTATTGTTTATTTGGCCCGAACATATAATTAAGACTATACTATCATCATAAATCGCAAGAAGATTATAAATCAGAAATAATCACTATTCAGGAGCCAGTAGGCTTAAAGCATGTTTTATAATTTTAGCCGTTAGGCTTTAAGTAAACTGTAAATTTTTTATTACTATCTTTATTACATCAGTATACACGTTCAATAAAAACTATGATCGCCTTTTTTAAAACATTTCTACAACAATGTCTCGATCATGCCCTGGGTTTTATAAAGTTAACACTTGTGTTAACTTTTCAACATTTAAATCATAAACTTTGGCGATAATGGTTTAGTGGAAAGAACAATTGGTCGATAATCAGTTTTAATTGTAGATACATTTTTATTTAATCAATGTAGTTCATACAAAAATTAAATCGTAGCTTATAGGTTAGGCTTGTACTGTAACAAAACAATTTTTGTAAAAAACAAATTTCAAAATGGATTTTACATCAAAAATATTTTGTTCTAAAACATACTCGTAAATCTTACTATTTTATTTTATTAAATTTTCTAGTAGAACTATTATCACATTTTATCGAACGGATAACTAAATTTTCGTTCATGCTTTGGATTAGATAATTGATAGTCACCTAGTTTGTTGTATGAAAAGTGAAAACCAAAAGATCATTGTAATAATTATTAATATTTTATCTTATAAGTAAGTAAGGAAGGGGATGTGTAGATAAATAATTGAATAACTTCTAACGTTATACGCTTTGTTAGGACGATTTAATGTTGTAAAGGGAAGGTTTTAATTCCTAAGAAATTTGTTAGAAAAATAAACTGACGTATAGTTGATGAACCACTCTGTACAAAATGTCCAAAGCATATACTGTATGAGTAATAACAATGAAATTAATTTCATGTTCACATGACAGTGTCTGTAAGTCAAAAGCTATACAATGAACTCAGTTCATAAATAATATCTAAGCTATTGCCAGTCAAGTTCATCTTGAGCCAGTCTGACTTCGTGCGTGACGACAAGTTAGGGGTTCAAAAACACAGTATTGGAAAATCAATGTTTCCAATACTCGTGCATAATTTTTGATCTTATGATATATATCTTACACGTAAAAAAAAACAATTTATTAGTTTGATCGTAATAGTTTTTGTAACTTGTGTTTGTTTAAATTTAAATCTGCATATTATATCAATTACATAGTCCTGTATAGTATACGTATATTTAGTGGCTTGTGAAATAATATAAAAATAATTTATTTGAACACAGTACATGCTCAATGGGAATAATTATAAAAAAAAATAGCACAAACAATGTATACGGAATTAGTAAATTTTATGAATTATATTTGTGCTTCATTTTTCAGCGTAGGTATAAAATTAGTGATCTAAACTAGCGTTAGGCTATATCAATGTAATTTTATTATTAACTATAGGCGGTTGTAGTTTTTCTCACTTTCATTTTTGATAAAATTGAAAGTAATTTTTTTCTTCTTACTAATCTATTTCCCAGAAGTTATTTTATTCATTAATTCCTTAACCGCGACTAGTGCTTATAAGTTACATTCCCTTGAGTCCAAGTCTAGAAAATGCTCTAAAATAATCAGCTTGATGTACCCTGGCGTGCGTTTACAAATTACGATAGACCTGGCAATGGACTGCTCTCTTAAATTAACAATAACAATTAGTAAGATATTGTTGATTTTATGATATCGATTTTTTTTTTGTCTATGGCCCAACGTTGGTTATATTTATTTTTTGTAAAATAAAATATAATATTATACTATATAAAACTATAACATACTGGTTGACCCCGTTTTTATTATTTTTCATCGCCAACAAACAATGTTACTTTTGAACAACTTTAAATTATAACATTATAACATTTATAACATTTAAACAATTATAACATTAAATTATAAGACTGTGCGGTCTATCCGATTTTTGATAAATAGTTACAAGTACAAAGTATAAGACAACTTTAGTAAAACTATGCAGATGATTGAATGATAAAACTTATATATATTAAATATATAAATAAAATAAAATATATTTTATATATTAAATATATTTTACAAAATTAATAATTACTAAATTACTCGATTTTGTGCTTATGGTAAAAGAACAAAGCCTAAAGTTAATAATTTCGGCGTTTGTATTGGAAACTAGACCGCCAGTAGTTATAAATAAGTTGTAAGTAAAGTTGTAATCTTAGTCCTAATGTTTGTTTTTAAAAAAATGTGCCAACTCCTATATATTTTCCTGCTACGCTTTATTGTCGTTGATAGCGACCGTGATGTTTTTCGGGTTTTGATAAATCTGACATCAGCTTAAACTACTTGGAACAATTTTTACCTTGACGCGTCTCGAAAAAAAAATGTAAAACAAATAAATGAACTTATGTTTCTTTTTTAGTGGCCTGTAGTCACGACAGAGCATGGGAATATTTCGCAGAATCCGTGGTCAACCCTGTTGGTTTCCCATCGTTGAGATGTGATTCTTACGAGTCGTTCACAGACGGTACTTGTTTTAAGGAGTATGCGTACGGCAAGGACCATTACACTCAGTACATGGGTTTGGGTGTCAACAAAAAGTAATTGCTGTAAAATCGATTATGCAAACGTTTGGTGTCTAATGAGTAATGAGTCTGATATTACAATGTTACAGGATCAAAGGACATTTCTATTTAGCTACCAGACCCAAAGCACCGTTTGCGTACAATAAGATCTATAAACCGTAGCTGCCATAACAATAATGTCATATTAAGTTTTCGTTACGTTTTGTTATCGACTATGATGCTAAATTATTATAGTAAAATTTGTTTATTGTATATATTTATAAATAATAATAATTAGTCATAATTACATTTTTTATACATTATATATAAATCATTTGAAAATATTGTAATTTCTAACATGTAACCGATGAAATTTTCAAGTGGCTGTATAAAAAAAATAGCTATAACTAATGTCCAGCTACATAAAGTACTTGATAAGATTTTCTATAATACTTTTCGTAGTACAATTTTTATAAAACACAACCGAGTAGAGTAATAAACTAATCATCGGGTATATATATTAACTATTATTATTATTGCCACCAGCAATTTAAAAAATCCTGGTGTATGCTTTTCAATACTCATAAACTATTAAAAGATCATTTTTTTTAAAAATATTAATGCATTCTACTTTCATCAGTTTTTTATAACCTCAACCCTTATAAGAAATTTTGATATAAATTTAAGACCCTTAAATAACAAACTCTATAGCTAAGTAGGTAACTGGACGAACTATTTTTTTAGTTATTCCAACCAGTGTTGAAAAATAAACAATTTTTTTTTTTTAAATATATTACATACTTAATAAATACTTACCGATTCCGGATAATATTTTTTTTAATTCTAGTTGATTATTTAATCAGATATTTACTCTTTAGAAATAAACAATAGTTCCGTGTAAATAGTTCTAGAGACAGCTACACAGCAAACCCTTGGGAACATTTCTTAGTTTTCTGTATACATACAAATAATACATATTTGATACTAAATATTATACTATGCCTTAAAATCTGAATTCTGCGTGCTTCAACAAATACAAATTAATTACTTAAATTAAAATAACAACCATATATATATGATTTATAACATATTACTAAATATTATTACAAGTATTGTAAAAATTATGAAATAAATGTAATTATATAGTAAACTTAAAACGTTAAAACAATACCGTTTGTTTAAAACACTCTGCAACTCTGATTCCAACAAGATATATACATTTATTATGTCCCTTATAAAGAATAATCTTAGTTAATCCAACTCTACCTACATTTTTCCCTGTGTAAGCATGACGATTCTTTATTGGTAAATTTTTGTTCAGAGCATCACTGTGCCCTTGGCAACATTTATAATTGTTTTTCTATACCTAACCATATATAGCTACGCATAATTGCGTTTTTCTCGGTCTATGATGGTCTTAGAGCATAAAAATATACCTATTATCAAATGGAAAGACTCTAACGTTTAATGACTAACGGAAAAGAATCGTGATGGTTTGTGTAAGAATAGCACTTACTATTTTCGTGTTGAGATTCCTGAGTTGGCTTTCGGCGTACCGGAAATCGCGTTTGGACTTGTTGTGGCGGTCCGTGGGTTTTGTCGCGTCCATGTCCCCGGCGTAACTACCGACCGTTTTCGATGACTGTGGCCCTTGTTGTTTTAAAGGCAACGACTGTGGTACTCGGTTGGGGCTTGCGCGGTAACCGCTTGGCGGTACACGAGGATTTTACGGTTATTAAAATTCAGGCAGCGCGTTTATTCCCCCCTTTGGCGAAGGCCAGGGAAGACCTGACCGGGAGACCGCCGTACTATTCTTCGTCCACAAAGAGCTGATAATGATTAAACTTTCTATTATTATGACTGCGTGGACGTGCATTTAATAAACTGTCTCCATTCTTTGATTATCTAAAAATATCACGGTTAGTGCGGTAAATTGAAACATGAACTTATCAGTCGTCTCAACACATATCAATGTTTGACGAGCATTCATTTTGCACTTTGAAGACTAGAGCGGCTCATTTTATCTACGGTTAATGCCAAATTTTAATATTAACAACGCTACCATCTTATTGGTCATTAATGTAATGTACATTTCATTTGTCTCACTAGAGAATATACCATATTTATTAAAATTTATTGAATGCTGTGTTGTTAAAAACTTTCTACCTTAGTGTCGATTTGGGTGGTTTGAAGGGGGGGGTTTTTATGGAGAAGTTGGTAATTAGGTTTTGTGGTGGTGTAGGTGGGGATAAATTGTAATTAATTTGATAATTATTAGAGTTTAAGAACAGGGATCTATCATTAGGTAAATTGTTGTGATTTTTGAGTAGTTGTTGTAAGTTTTTTTTTATTAGGTGGTATCTGTAGGGAATTTCATAGTTTGATTAGTTTTGTGGTATAGGATTAATTTAAATATTAAAATTTTAATAATTTGTTTATTAAATTTTTATAATTTTGACAGAAATAAAAAAAATTTTTAGTATTTGTGGTTTTGGGTAAAATAAATAGGATTTTGAAGTAATTTTTAATGAGATTGATTGGTTCAGGCAGGAAGCATTGGAAGGTTGTATTGTAGGGGTGGTTTTGGTGAATAAGATGTGAATTTTTTTCACGCCTATACCAACCATATCTCCTAATCGGCTAAACCGTTTTTTTTCATACAGCAAGTCTATAAGATCAGAAATCGTACTAGAGAGTTACTTTATTGGGAAAAAGGTTGACATAACTTTCAAATCGAGGAAAGCATCTAAAATATTTACATTTTTCAACCTAAATCAAGAGCGTGCTATAATTTTTTAAAATAATATTCAAATTAATTTCAAATTTGTTCTCCTCTCTCGCCAGAGAAGACAAATCGGAATGACCCGTTCTGGATGGCAAATTCGTCAAGAAACCATCTCAAGCAATGTAAGCGTTGGGCCTTCAAGTCCTGTTAAGCTACATGACTTTGATGAAGAGTTCCAAATTTGTATAGAGTACTACCTACGTACAGTACTATTGATCTATGCTGACAAACCAAACAAACATCAAAAACCCTTTTTGAGAAATCTTTTAGATAGCAGATCTATATTAAGACTATAACATATAACATATGCATTTTTAACAAGGCAACCACCGGAAAACTGGAGGAACGATAAATATTGATAATTACTGAAAGTGATAAAATCAAATACAGTTTAATAAATTACTGAAAACATATTATGACCTCCAAGATGTCCCATCATTAAATGCATTGTGCTGACATTTTTATTTTTTTTGATAAATTTAAAATAATTTGATTAACCCTTTTGCCCCTAGTAAAATATAATATTATGGTTATTATGTAAAAAAAAAAAGATAGTACTATATAGTAGGAAATTTAAAAAAAAGTCGTTTCAATATTTATCGACGAACATTGAATCCGATTGAATCTTAACTTTATTGTTTGAGCGAAAACCCTTATATTCATACGCATGTGTTTAAGTTAACTAATAATAAGCCTGATGGTCAATCGCACCTTTCAAATAAATTTAATAATAATTTCTATTTAAAAAACTGCTATTAATTTGGAATGTGGGATTGACATTAGGGACAAGGAACCCCCTTCTTCTCTCCGCATCTCAACATTGTAGGTACTTTATTGGCATTTATCATTAATTATTATAAAATAGAAAAACAAAACATTACACTAAATCGTTGCTCACAGAAAAAACTACACTATGAATTGAAAAATATAACTAGTCTATAATTGTAAGATAATCAAAACACAAATCATATAAAATATAATTGACAATTTATAATACGTTCGGTTTAATATTGAATAATATAAACTATAGAATTACCATAATAAATCTCGTTGTTAAATGAATATTACACCTTAGTTATTTCAATGTAACACACACTTGAAAAAATAAAGGAACTTTTTTTATTCGACCTAAAATAGTAAAATACATTATGTGAAATAATCAAATATACTTCACTTGTGACATCGTACAGAACTTTATACAATATTAAATTTTAAACCTAAAAAACATGAAATAATAGTCATAACATTAACTTTATTATAGTATAATATAACCGATTGAGAAATGATAATTTTTTTTTTTAATTAATAAAATTTTTACTGATTTTTTTATTTCTTAAGCATCATGACATCAATAGTTCTGCAAATATATTAATGTCGGAATTAAAAAAAAATTGTTGTATACTTAATTATATAATAATATAACCACATAAGTTACTGCGCCGTAAATACTTATATTTTTTTACTTTCTGGGTTCTTTAGTATTGTACATTAATACACCTATCGAATATTGCATGAGAGTAAATTGTTTTTAATAAAAACCGATACATTAATACTTAGCACATGTCATGCTTTAAACTCCATTTTAAAGATATTACAAAATATTAATTTACAATAAAAATAAAAAAACTTTGATAGTTATACCATTTATTTTTTCATTAATAATTTGTTTTATAAAATTTGCCATAGCAATAAAAAAGAAAAAGTTTTGCGTCGCGTTGCAAAATTAGATTTTTGTGTTTGAAAAAACTAGTTACAATATATTTGATTGTACTAGTAAAGTTCAATATTAAAACAAATTTTATTAACAAAAAATAATGATTATGATTTAGGAATATTATTTGGTGTTAATTAATAATAATTGTTCTGTTTATATTTGACGACTTATAAAAGTTAGACAAAAAAAAGGTGATCGCGTTGATAAAACAATAATAATATTTATTGTGTGTAATAATAAATAATAGTTATCATAAATTGTTGAACCACAATAATTTTAATATCTGGACAAGGTACAGATAAAAAAGCGAGGTTTGATAACAACGATACAATTAATAATATTAATAACACATGTAATTTAATAGTTGGTGAGAATAAAATAATTATGCGACAACAACACCATCAAGATATGCTGTTTGATAAAAGGGAGATAATAATATCATTTGATTAAGCTAAAACAAAAACAAATCGATATAGTACAAAATAATAATGACTTAATTCCAATTATCCATCGTACAAATATTTTTAAAAAAAGTTCAATATAACAACAACAACAACAAAATAACATTTGTACATGACTGTGATAATTATTACTATTTCGTTCGTATAACAAACAAGCAACATAACTTTAATCATTATAGTTACAGCGTACCTAAAATATAAATTATATTAAATGTCGAAGCCAATTCTGTCTAAAAAATATTTTCGATGTTCGTATAGCATAGGCTAAAATAAAACTTCCTCCCCCTACCAAATGAAAACAAATATTGTATGTTTTAAAAACTCCTTATAAAAAATCTGTAGTCTTTTATATGTTTTTTCTCAGAGTATAAAAACCGTAATTAAGTATTAACAAAAAAAACGCTTAATAAACATTACCCTCCCAATATACAAATGTGTGTGTTGTAGATCGAGCGCAAATCTCTAAATTGTGACTTAAAAAATTATAAAAAAAACAATAGATAAATACAACAAGCTCGTAAATTGTCAGCCTTCGGTCACATAAGTGGGAGGGATGACGACAGGGGCTACAAACCGGTCCCCTGTTGGTGTGGCTGATGCGATGGACTGGTGGTTGTACTACTCGCATGACTTTGCGTCTCGGACGTATCCTAAAAAAAAAATAGTATTTTAATTTAAACGTAAAAAATAATTAAAGTAAGTGTAAGATACACATAGTTAAAACATGTATTAATTGTATTTTTATGTTATTTAATTAGATTTAGATTGTATATTATATTGTAGATTAGATTAGTATTCAATTTAGATACAGTACATGTAAACAGCAATAAAAATATCTTAATAATTTAGGTAACTTTAAATAACTTGTTGACTTTTTCATTATAAGCATTTCCACTTTGAACAGTAACTCATTTTGACTAAATATAGCTTTGACACGATTGAAAATAGTTTACATTTAGTCACGTCTATCACATACTACTTACTAGCAGTGGTTTTTTGAATATTGCTAATAATAAATAATCAATATTATGTAGACATTATATTATATTCATTATATTAATTAATGGATTTTTAGCTAGTATACTATAACTTATATTCTATAAGTAAAAAAAACGACAAGACAAAGATGGTTGTACGCTAAAAAGGATCAGAAAATTAAAATAATCAGTAAAAGACATTATGGATAGAGAGGAATAGGCATAAGTTGGGAAACAAATGTAAACATGAAGTTTTTGGCAAAGGTAAAATATAAATAAAATGTTTTTAGTTGTCCAAATTAAAATCATTACAAATTTGTTAGGTTTGTTATGTTTTAAATTGTTTTGTTAATTGTTGGATTGTTATTGATATTAAATAATGTTTAGTCATAGTACAGTCATTATTAAATTATTTAAACTGGGCGCAAGCTTGTTCTTACGAAAATAAATTTAATACTTAATAAGAAAAAAAAATTCTTAATAAATTATTATTATTAATCGTCGGCCGCATACTAGTTTATCGATTTGTTTTTCAAATAATAACTTACAATTAGAAAGAAAACCGCGTATTTTTAATGCTCTAAGGGAGCACGACAGTATAACTGTGTGTACATACCATTTCGTGAAGAGAATCTAGCCTGGCTAAAGGCGCTAAAGGCGCCAAAGGTGTAAACTCTATAACGTTGCCTTCGTCGCTGGAATTATAGCTGGTCGTACACCGTAGACTGGCAAATTGCTGTCGTTTCTGGGTGGCGGCAGCAGTGTCCAATCCGGTAGAAGTCGAACTAATATTAGATACCAAATATTTAGCTATTATATTGTGTATTATACTATATAGTATCGATATAGTTTTAAATTTGATAAAATTAAGCTGAAAAACTGACTGATTCGGAGGCCTCAAACCTTGGCACTCATCAACCGCTATAGATCAACAGATTTAGAAGTCGGATTAATATGATGCTTAAAAGTATTACTGCGTAGTTTTTCACATAATAATAAACGTGATTATCGCAGAAAAAATGTTAAGCGAAAATAATCGGGTGATCATAGCTGTAGATATGGAAAATTAACGTAACTATAAAAATCATAATGAATAATACCTTACCTCGACGCGTCGAAGAGATTATCGGTTGGAATTTCTCGAGAATAACGACTTTGTTGGGTCTATAACATAATTAATAAATTTACTTAGACTATATTTTTTAATCACTATTGGTAAATTGATGGTGTTTATAGACGGCCATAGAAAAAAAAGTTGATACAGTTAAAAAGAGGACAGCTTTAACTCGTCGATACTTTAAGGTAACTTAAATTTTACCTAACTTTCAAGTGCTTGCATTTAATAAGCACTTAAAAAAAAAAAAAAAAACCTGTTAACAGTTTAATAGAACCAAAAAAAGCCGACGAGAGAACCTAGATAAAGTTCTTATTGTTTTAAAAATGTAAAAAAAATGTCTACGATTATAATTTAGCCAATAATAAAAAATGTGCGTAGATATGTTTAGATGAAAACAATTGTATAAATCACTGTCAAAGTTGCTGTGATAGTCCAAAACATAAATTAACTACAAAAAAAGAGTTCTAATTACTTAACTAATAATTACACATCACAGTTTAAGCATTAAATTAAGATTTTACAAAAAATTGCTTATACCAAACACCTTAATTAATAGGGGACATAATCTCTCAAATACAATTTTGGCATTTGTTTTTATGGACTTGATCTTCAATTAAGTTTTAGAATACGACGTAAGTATCAGATTGTAAGTAAACACAGATTAACTTGTTAAGTACTAACTATTAAGTTACTCAAAACTATTATTGGATCCTATATTTAGGTTTTTTAAACTGCTCGTTTCCAATAACTGGAACTATAGCTTTTTTTTTACTCAATATTTTCCTGCAGGCTTATAATTTATATTATAATTTTTTTTTTTAGTAGTTTATAATAAAATATATTTTGTCTCGAATATATTTATCAGTAGGGCAAAATCTGATCGTCGATTCATTGATCATTATTTAAATGAGTTTTTACATAACTTCTTTTTGAATTAATTAATTTTTTGTTATTATACAACCTACAGAAAATAAAAGTACACAACATATTAATGTACTATAACAGCCGTTTGCAGAGGGCTCGGATTATACATATTTTATGACGGCATGGCATGGCGGAGCACGTGTGCTATACGACAATAACTTTAACAGAGACATATTGCTGACAATCTAAATAAGCACCATATGTGTGTGTAAAAATAGCACCATCGTAAACGCAACCCTTATTGAATAAATATTTTGGTCACGGAGAATTAATCAATTGCATATGCGGTGGCTCAGTAGCCCAACCAATGTATATTTAACCATAAAATTAGTTGAAATCATATTTTACAACCAACAAAAATGTGCGATCTTCTGTAAGCATAATAAGTATTATACTATACTATTTGTTTTACAATAACGGCTTCGGGAACCGTTACCGTCTTAGGTTGACCTTAGGCGTGTTGTATGCACTACTACACATACCGGGGATACATTGACGACATAATAGACAGGTAGGGTAGAAGGTGACCAAAATTAAAATCGTTGGAGTGCTTAAGGATGGCCCATGCTTAGCTGTCGTTTTGCTGCTACATATATGCGATCAACACACACCAAGACAAATAAACAACGGCCAAGCAACGCCACCACCACCACCCGACCAAAACGTAAGCCGTTATGTGTACTCACTATACTATGGAATATTACGGACGATCAATAATCGTAGCCGCCGTTAAGAATCACAAAAGTATGTACAAAAGAAAAAGGGGTCAGGTAGTGCGAGCGTTTTTATTTGTTTGTATTTACCCCTACCTCCACTCGTCGTTTTTGTTATTATTTGTTGTTATTACAAATTAAACGAGTAAATCAATTACAAAACAATATTACTAGTTCACGTCAAAGAATAGTGTACCAGCTGATGGTACTTACAACTAATTATTATTCAAGAAGCTTATAAAAGTGAGACTTGCAAAAATTAATAAATAAAACCGTCAATCTAGCACGCTTAATCTACTATTCCATTATAATTCTACCGTCGCTATGGTTGCCACATTAGGGTTGCAAATCGACAATGATATGATTAAATTACACCGAAGTGAAGTGAGTAAAGTTCATTGTTAAAACGGTTTCTTCAAGTACAATACATACGATATCCTCGTTACCCAGCCACAATTCGTTAATAATTATATTTATTCTCTATATTAGTAACCTTTCCCGCAAGGGGTGCCTTAATTGTTATCGGGTGTGACAAGCCCGCAGACCTCAGTCATTGGCGTAGGGAAAGTGGTGTCCCCATCACCTAATATACCATGGTATATTGCAGTAACCATACCCTGGCCTTAACTGGTTAGGGTAATCTGGTCTTCTAGGTTGGGGGTTGGGCGCAGGGCTAACGACCCTACCTTTTAAAAATATTTTCGTTCAGGTTTCCCAACAAGCCTCGGATATGGCAAGGCTGTATTTCGAGATGGTCCTAGTGGCCGATTTATCTAATAAAAAGAAGAACTAATGCTAATGTCTACAAAGTTGCACGAACCAACAAAATAGATTTATTGATATCTTGAGTATTCTCCAATATAGATAGCGATTTGGGTACTTTTCGTTCCTTTCGAATAACGTGGCATGACAATACATTTTTCGACATTCCTCATAATATAATTTTGATCAAATTATGTGATTTATTAGACATTTTTTTATTTCGCTGCCCACTTTCTGAGTGTCCTTTCTTGGTCGTTCACTTTAACAGTCTGGTCAGGGCTCGAGAACTGTACTATAGGAAGAACAGTGGACCATAGCTGTGAAAATGGCTTCCTCCTCCAAATCTTTCAATGGTATATTATACTATATTTTCCCCTAAATAACATATTTTAGGCTACATGACGACCTTCAATATAGCGAGACGAACTCGCCCAACCCGGGTCTGATGACAGTAGATTTTTCCCTATTATTTTTTTACTGCCGTCGCACGTTTTTTAGTGACGTCACTATTAGAATAATTATGACCCAGAAATTTACAATGCACTCGAAAAATATCCCTAGATACTCCAGTCGTTCTAGTATGCTTTTGAGTTTTTGAAAACCGGCACGTTTACATTGCGTGTATTTTGTATTGTTTGGTGAGGGTTTTTGAATGTCGCAGAATAATTATCCGCTTATGTAGATGTTGAAAGAAATGCAACTATAATACAATATGAAACTACATATTTTTTTAAAAGAATGGTAAAATGGACATGTGGTAAAGAATTAGAATATGCAGTTTATGACTGATAATTTGATTTCCGCACACTCAATTCAAATACCTTAATTAATATGTACATATTATGTATCTTTAGGTATGAGAGCTAACCTTCACATTCGTACAAATGAATCATATATGTAGATTTTTAAAAATGACCTCGATAAAGATGCGGATGGTAGTTAATAGAAAGCTTATATAATAAAATAGCGGTAATGTTTGATCCAGTTATGTTTTTATACTGAAATCTATTCAAATTTTCTTTAGATCATATATGGTGGTCCACGAAGTTGTAATAACACCCATTGCCCCTTCTAATAATGTCGGTTCTCTAGTTGGTAATTGGTATAAGTGCGAATATTTGTAACAGACTATTTTTAATGAATGTTAAGAACTAGAGTTGCCGAAATAAAATAGCTAACAGTGATGAGGAAAATAAAGAGCTCCGCGTATCTACTTTAAAAAATGGTGCGTTTTTAACATTTCACCAGCCCATTCCATTTTTGCTAAAAGGGAAAATCAATATCTCATAAATTTATTTGTTTTTATTAAATCGTGACTGCGTTAACGTTTTAGATGAAAATGATAATTATAATTTCTAGAAGAACCATCATATTATCCAATAAAGGCTATTAAAAAAAAAAATAATAATAATAATGATTTCTAGAAAAAACTAAAGCAACGCTTGTCTTTATATATTATAAAATAATTAAATATTTAAGTATTTTATACAATTTTTAACCTGACAGAGATCGTGAGGCTGGGAGTAACTCCGCCTTGGAATGGTGATGATAGTGGTGGATTGTGGGTCAGACGATTGACGCATCGAAGACGCTTGCTGTCGACACCGGCTCTCGCTTTTCATTTCGTCTTGCGACGAGCTCCTGTCGAGGTAAAAAACACAAAATAATTAAAAAATACTAATTATGTCATCGAGTAACCACCGTACCTGAACTTCACCGCTAACGTCGGTCTGGGAAGGTGCTCGCTCGAGGTTTTCTTAACGGGCGACGGTCTCAACCTGTACCCGTCCGGTCGAGTCTAGAAATATATTGTACAGATTATCATTATGTTCTACAGATGACGAGTCAGACAACAATTGTCATCTGGACGGTACTAACTTCCGGCCCCTGGATATCTCCGCTTTGGTGTTTTAGTATACGCAGTATCGTTTTAATGTCGTTCGATACGGACTGCTCCAAATATTCGAACTGCTTAGACAGCCTATCTATTCGATAATGCACGTCGACATTGCCACACTGCGAACACGAAGCAATTGCACGTTGCGGTGACGGGGGCGTTATCACAGTCGTATTATCAGCGATCACAGACACTGCAAGCAAAACCGTGATATGGTATGATTGGTTGACTGTAACTTAGCTGGGAAAACACACTCTACCGTACAGCGTGGAATACAAGATTTTGTGGTATCGTACAAAACCTGCTCGGAATAAGAGAAATTGTATGTACTTACTGGATGGGTTGGGGAAAGGTGAGGTTTGTGCTTTACAAGTGGAATGTAAGGGGCTTTGGGCCGTCGGGGTGCCGTAATGCGATGACGCGGTCGTACTGAATCCGGCAGCCGACATGTTTTGCACGCTGGCTTGGTCACTGCTGTTGCTGTCCTTGCACTGTTGATGGTGCAGCGCGGACGACTCGGAAACTAAAGGCCGAATATACACCAGTGAAAATCCAGGATTATGTTGTTGTATAATTTAAATATTAAATTAATTAAACCGGATAAGTAATATAATTTTTATACAACAAAGTTATCAGATAAATTATTTAACCGTCTAACAAATACCAATTTGATTAATAAAAAATAAAAAAATTTAGAATATAAGTTACTATTATTTTTATATGTTAGCTAAATGGCTTTAAGTACGAGTATTATTCATAGAAGGATACAAATATTTCATTATAATTGCAATTAATAGCCAAATTATGTTAAAATCATCGATACACTACACTAACACTATTAACTAAACAAATTAATAAGTACGAATTATTGTAATACATAATATACGTGCGTTATTAGTATTTATTTGTTTGTTAAATTTAATTAAAACTAATAAATTAGTACTTCTACTATTTCATTAAAATCTTGGTTGCAGGAAATAGGTAATAAACAATTTTTCTTACTTGGTAATTGGTGATCAAGAAGCGGCTGGTTCTCATTACATTGAGACGCGAACAGATGTTTATGAGACGTCGAACACTTCAATCCGCCGGAATTACCTAGATAAGTGGACAGAGAAAAAAATATTTTCGTATTTGTTCAACGAATGAAAAACAATTAAATGCCCATTTATTTACCAAGTTTCCCATTTTCCTCTTCCCTGCCATGTTGCTTTTGCGATAGGCCATGCAAGCGAATGTCAGTCACACTACGTTTGAGTTGGCTGAACATGCCTGAACCCGACCAAACAGTAAAAAATAACGAATAATCAAACACCAATACAACAAACGCTATTTTCATGTTGTCGGGGTTCAAAGCGCCATTACAAAGCATGGGATGTTTTCCCGATAGCTGCTAATCCGTTTTAGATATATTTTACAAGCCGGTTAATATTATAAAATATACAATTGTCGTGGTATTATGGTAATAATAACACCGACAGGAGAAAAATAGGTTCTAATAACGTACTCTGCCGGTTCCGGCTCTATACACCCGCCATTCGACGCTAATCTGTGTACATATTTTTTTTATATTAACCGTTAACGTCTTCGCAACCGACGAGAAAAACGCATAATTTCTAAGACTATGAATAAGTACGCTGATGTAAAGCAAACGAATGGTATTTACCAGAGATTGAGTTTAACGCCGTGTTCCGGTTTTGTACGATTTCGTCTTCGAACTTGAGATTCATCGGCGTCACGTCTTGGCCGGCTTTGTCGGTGGAAAACTCCAGGATACCGTGACCGTCGGCGTATTTCTCGCTGTCCAAAAGTAGAATAACAAATAATTGGACCCAAGGTTAAACTAAATATAAATTTGCTCTCTAGTACCCGTTGTTAAACTCCGACATGACGTTGTCGTTGTCATTCATGTCGTCTCTCAGCGGCTCCGACGGTCCTATACAGCTTTCCGACACGCCCCTGTGAAAGCTGTGATAGTAATGCTTTGTCGCCCCAATGTTGGCAGTACCGCCAATCGGTTCCTGCGAACTTGACCTCGACCGGATCTTCCTGCTGTACCTGCCGGCTCTCGGATCCACGCCAACTTGCGTTTCCTAGTTGCAACGAGCAAACACGGTCATGAGAGCACAATATCATTCTACTGTGTAAGGTGTTTGATGTCACTCACGTCCCGCATATAATAAGTTATTTCTAGATTCTCCTTGAACGAATGATAGAACTCCGGGTACAGGTCCAGCACCTCGAGCAAATCACTCCTGTCGATTTTGTGCAAGTCACAATACGTGAGTGCCCGCACATTGCAACAAGATTTGCCGATAGTGGCGTGCTTACACGGATTCTCTCCGAATATGTCATTTTTGCCTGCGAACAATTTCACCTTTAACACATAGTCGTATGATCTTTTCGTCTCGTTAGAAAGCATAAACACTTACTCAGTATGGCCATGACCACGTTATCTTTCAGTATCTCGATGGAACCTCGTGATATGAAGTAAAGTGACGTTAGCACATCGCCCTGGTGTACCAACGTATCGCCAGGAGGCGCGTGCGTGGTTCGGAATTTCAACGATAGAGCCCTAAAAAACAGAAATAAGCAAAACCGTTAAGCCGATATTTATGGACGGCTATTTATAGGTGGAAACGTGGCCGGTAATAACCTTAAACATCCCGGTGAGGCGCCGTTGAAAGCCGAACAATTTTTCAACAGATTCCTGTTGAGGTGAAGGCAAATGTCGGCTTGCAAACATTCCGGAAACCCCTTGAGCACACTGTTCATGTCGATTCCGTTCGTGTACGTCCAGGCATGCTACAAAATACAATAATTATGACGATATAAAACTATTCCGGTACAGGAACAACATTTACTCATTCAATAAGATGATATTGTATAGGTACTTGAAAGTATTCCTCCAGCCTTTGTCGCAGAGGATTCGGTATCTGATGGAATCTGATGAACTCTCGAACTCTGAGCATTTGGGTGTGATACCGGGCTGTGCCCGAATACAACCTTTGAATTATCGCCGAAACATTACCAAATATACTGGCGTACATCAAAGCTAAAATTTTCAAACGATTCCAAATATGTAATAACCAATTGAAACCTATTGTAGCAGTTTCTCATGAATTTCACTTTGAAAATTTATGATTTCATCCTTCAATTTGGATAATAATAATATCATTAACATAAATATTGTATAATAACGTTTGAAACTAAAGTAGGAAAATACCATTTTTCATAAATAACTTAATGCAATATAACTTACATCCGACCAGCATCACGCATATGGTGAATGCTTTTTCTGCATCTGTGTTGGGCGCGACGTTTCCAAACCCCACCGATGTCAACGAACTAAACGTGAAATACAACGCTGTGATGTATCTCGACTGTAAGCAAAAACAGACAACATTAAATAATTGTAGGATTCATTTATACCCACTTTCCCAGGATAGCAACTCTTGTCTCTTGTAGAGCAAGAGTTGTGCATTTGACCTAAGAAGGTCACAAATAAATAAAAAAGGGTTCATTTATCAGGTGTAGCTAGTATCTAGAGTTATTTACTGTTATTGCGATATTATTATTGTTATTATTGCTATTATTTGTATATTGCGACTAAGATGGGTTTAAAATAATTACTATGTTCCGCATAAAATTAAATTCATAAACTTAATTTCGTTTTGCATCATATTTTGCATATTCAGTGGGTGGAAACATTTGTGTTCTTTAAAGTCAATAGAACTTGTACTCAGTATTTACGTCTATAATAAATCATTAGATAAATAACAAAAAAACAAAAACGAAATGACTATAAAACGCTTTTACATTTACTACAATATAACGTGTATACGCCGGAATGCATGAACGATCATTAAAACCTTAACGAATCGTTAGAGGTCCTTTAAACATGAAATAATGACATGTCATTATTGTGGTCCATTGAATTTTAACGACCCTTTTAATTTATTAACTTTTTTTTGTATAACCTTGCGTTAAAACCCTATTAATGATAACGAAAAATGGTATTAGCTATACTATTATTTTCTATCGCCTATACTATAATGCGCATTCCAGTTTAGCGCACTTGTGCGTTTGCATCATATTCGACACTTTTTAGTACATATGATTCCGACTCTAGCTGATTTTAGACCCTAGCTGTTATATATTGTTAATGACTGTTCTCGCCGGTTCGGCTAAACTTTTTAATATAGCTTAGGATTTTGTTTAAACTAACTTCGTTTTTAAGCTAATCTGTCAAGAACGGCCATAAAAAAATCTTAGTGAATTTCTCCGCTCCGTGGAAAACATTGAAACGTAGATAAGTTTTTTGCATTACGGGTCATAGGCTCTCGGTCACGATTTTGTCAATTTACGAATTTAGGTATTATAGGGAATGTGTTATAAGACATTCTTCTACATTACCACCACCCCTGTCTCAAAGGAACGAAGTGACGTAATACAGCCGAGTACACACAGTAGCTGTGGGCAAAGTGTAACGGGTGGAGGCAATGTAAATGTATGTCATATAGTACACTTCACCCTAGTACCGAAATTCATAAATTGACAAAATCGTGACACGAAATTCCAAGTGAATTTTTAAATGACCCCTAGCGGTCATTATCCATGTCAAATTAAAAGTCCTCATTGTACTCACCCGGATACTAGGGCCGCCCGTGTTGTTGTGAGAATAGAACTGGTGTGTGTCGTTGGCAAGAATGTCCAGCCATCCCACTTTGCTGGCTAAATGGGGCCGTTCCGCGTTGCCTATTGCGTACCATATACAAGCCAGCCAATGGGCGATCAACGCAAACGTGGCCATCAACAGCAGTAGAACAGCCGCACCGTACTCCGAGTACCGGTCGATCTTCCTGGCCACCCGGACTAGCCTCAACAGCCTGGCGGTCTTCAGCAGGCCGATGAGTGTTGTAGTCTGCGAATATTCGAAAATCGCAAACGTTAGGCCGGCCGGTGACTTTCGACTTCCATACAATAAGTATACAGCCGTAATTAAAGCGATAAGTGTTCTAACTTAAGGGGGGAAAACCGATATACACTCCAACTCGGCTACAACTACGGGTTAATCAATACCATGTGCAACTAAAATGACGCAATTAACGCAACGACGTTTTTCTACGATTATAATATATTATTGTGTTTATCTTGAAGCTACAAAGCTACGGGAGAAAAAAACAAAAAAACTAACAATACAAGGTTGTCCCACAGAGATTTGACAAATTAAATTACTTTTGCTTAGTAGGTATGTTTAAGATTTTTTAAATTAATTTATACTCATTTGTGCTATAAACATCACGGTTTGAATTGCACTTAACTGTTTTACTTTTTTTATAAATTTAAGACAGCTGTTTTATTGAAAACCGTTTTGGATAATTTTTGGATAACTTTTAAAAGTTTAGGATGGGAGGTGAAGTGCGGTAGAGTAATGCACGCAGATAAAAATAACTCTACGCACTAAATTAGTATAACTTAATTAAAAAATCTTGTCAAATCTTTGTGGGACATCCTGTATACAAGGCTATCTTACCAACTTCGAACCAATTTGCATGTTGTTTGTTGTAAATTGACTCGGTGGATTGAATGGAGAACTTCAAAAGTAAAGTGATGCATTCAAAATAAGTACTTCCTTCACTTGTGCATTCATCGATGAATCATTTAAACGTTCCTGTTCGTGATCAATTTCATTTAATTAACTTAAGGAATGGTATCACTTCACTTTTGAAGAGCCCTATACAGAAAAGATTAATTTTCGCGATTCAATCAACTACGGTATACATTCTATAAGTCGTATCTACGTCTACATAAGACCTACGTTCTACGCTAAATTATTTTTTGTTCAGTCTCACAAACCTCTTCGGTCTTCTGTTGAGTTTCCAAAGACAACTGAAACGATTATCAAACTAATATTAAGGACTGTCTATAATTTAACACGGCGTCGCTTGCGCTAACGCCCTAATCCTATTGCACACTTTATATCCAATCTAATTTACTATTTTAAACTATAGTATAAATATATTGTGTTTGATTTATAATAATATATTATTTATAAAATATACAATCACACGACTATAATATTAAAGTATATTAGTAATATAAACAGATACTATATAAAGAAAATCTAAAAAGGGATAAAACATCAAGAATGCTTATCGAATATAAAATATTAGTAAAATTTATGAAAACCAAATTATATTAAACTTAGGCGGAGCCAGATTGAATACACCAAAGTCCTATTTTCGTTTAAGTAAATACTTAATATAGTCTATTACTTTAAAACATACTACAGATCCCTTATTTTTTTTTTTTACTGTTACTAAGTATTAACAAATTCAAATATTACTTTTTTATTTTCACCCCATGAAGAGTTGGTAGTTTTGGGTTAGATACAGGTATGTTTTGGAAATATGACTTGGCTTTAAACACAGCTTCTGGCTTCACCTATGATTTTAAGGCACTGACTGTAATTATCAAATAATTGTTCTTTAGGCAAGGTTCTATAATTGGTTAAAGGGTTAAAGACTTTTTACGAGGATGAAAACAGAAAAATAAAAAATTGCATAAGTACGGGTGATATAAATTATAGGTTTAAAGACAACAGTTGTGATCAGTAAGTAAAATCATAGCACGGGTATTACATATTAGTTGTTATTGACGCATTTTTTACTTAATCAAAATCTAGTACGTTTAATTTATTTCAAGAATAGAATATTTGCATACTATCCGACTGACAAGGCCAAGTATAATATGTACCAACAAAGGTATGTCAATGCTTAACATGATATCATTGGAGATTCGTGACTTAATTCCGAGTTTGCTCTGATTTTCACAGCAGCGTTAACAAGTTAATTTATACTGATAAAATACAATTCTTTATGACATTGAAGTGACATTTCTTAAACAATAATTTTTTTTTTTCAGTTGATTTTACCAGACTGAACCTACTTTTAGAATCCAAAACGGCGCAGCCCGTTATAAGGTGCCGACATAGGTATACCTTGTCAGAAATATTACGTCACGGCCAAATGTTTATAATAATGCGAACCGTATAAGTACATATAAATAACACATAATAATATAACACTTTAGTATAAACGAATTTACCTCGTCTGTTTCAGCCGACGACCCGGCGATCATCAGATCGAACGGGATGGCGGCGACCAAGTCTATCAGAAACCATCCCCGGAAATAGTGCCGCGCTATCTTGCTGGGCGCCGACACCACCTCGTCATTCTTGTTCACGTAGGTGGTCCGAAAATTAATAGCTATGTCGATAATGAATGTGATATCCACTGCACACAAGAGTAATAATGTAATCGAAACGATCGACGTGTATTTTCCTCTGTACAGCTACCGTGTTGGGGTAAAAAAAAAAACTCACCGAAAAAATCCACTACCACCAGGGGATCTTCGAAGCTGAATCTCAACGGTCTGGGGCCTTTGAAGTGAGGCTCGTTAAGCAAAAACGCCGCAAAGTACGGTGTGAAAATCGCAGTGTAGATGACCAGCAACAAGATGATCCAGTCCCATACCGCCTTGAAAGGGCTGTAATGCAGTATCGTCCACTTGTGGATTCTAGGAGACTGCAACTTGTACTCGGGTAGAATGTCGGCGCCCAAAGATAATACCTTGGTACAAACAAAACAAAAACCGTTTAGTTATTTTACACTACAATAATATATAATAACCATGTGAGATATGTTAAGGGCCACAAGACTTAAGGGTGCGTACAGTGATTATCGGCGAGATCGGCTGATCCATGGTACGTTAATAATCACAAAAGCTCTGCAAGCTGTATATGTGGTTAGTGTATTAACAAACGAGAAGTGTGTCTCCTCGGCCGAGATTCGATCAGCACTAAGTAGAGAACGGTATAATATGCTGAGGGGCCATGACGTGTGGGCAACGAGACTACAGTCAAATATATATTACAAAATCCCTGTAGTACAACAACAGCAGCTGACTCCTACCGGGCGCTGGTAAACATGGTAAACACATGTGTGTAGCACATATCTATCAGTATTTCTTGCGCGCTGCTGCCGGCCTTAATGTATGGTATACGGGCGCACTTAACCGGTGTCTATAGACATAATATGATGATGGTTTATATACAAACGAGCGTAACTCGCATCATATTATTATTACTATCATAGATTTCCCGAGCAAGCCATGAGAAAAATTGCACAACGATTTGGCGTTCCAATAATAATATGTTGTTTTGGTTATCAAAAGGTTATATTCGTTCCGGCTACCGCCCGCGGTATAAAATAATATAGTATCGAATAATATATGTTTAACGAGTGCGTTTTTTATGTTTTACAAATTCGCGTAGGGTTTTTGGACAAGTCATTCACTGGTTAATAGGCCATAAAAAAAACCGTTAAACGTTCGATGTCTACTCATAAGCGTTGCACACGAAAACGTTTGTTTTATAATTATTGCTATTGCGGTTTCCCGTATAGCAATAAACGAAATCATAGGTAGGGCAATACAGGGTTAACAGTCCATAAATTCCATACACCTGAATTACGCGAAGAAATCGCCGATTAAACGTAATAGCCGTTATGTTGCAAAACAGATAGAAGTCCTCGTTTTAATAAATAAATTGTATTTGCGCCCGACGGACGTCCATCGTGTTGAAAACCCAATGTAATACAAATTAACCCTTTAGGGTTTTTTTACATCGAGGTTATATATCATGCGAACTCACGATTGATATTTCGGTGAGATGGGACCCTGACAACGTTTTTTGAGCAATGCTGATTTTATATACATAAAAAAAAAGCTATAAACTATTTATGGCCACACGATCTTTTTCCAGTGAACCCTGCCCGAAAAAATCATCCTGAATTCGGTTTGTACAAACAAAACGACACCCAAAAGAATAAAAGTGTCCGTTACGCATTTTTTTCAAATTAACCAAAAGCCAAAATAGGAAATGGTATTTTGTAAATAAAAAAATATCACTACGATAAACACAAGAGGAAACGCACGTCTTTAAAAAATATATTAGGCCAAACGTCGTTGCTTTAGCCACTTTTGAATTTATTATCTTCGATACAAAACTGAACAGACATTTATTTATTTTACATATTTAGAATAAAACTTTATTATGAAAAAGTAGGTTTATTACCCAAATCCCTTGACATATTACTTACATAAAACATTTTAAAAGTAGCGATCTCAGCGCTTTAGCATAATTCCTAATTTTAACCATATCCTTTTGGAGGGAGAACCTATCTTTAAGTCTCATTGGTATTCTGTTGTCACATAAAACGCCTGACGCTTCTCTCAACTTGATCAATCGCAATTAATTTTGTTTCACATTCTCATCAAAGCCACCGTTATTTTATACTTGAAACTCTCAACTACGCCTCCTATGTTACCGCTTATTAAAATTACTTACCACCATTCGCCAAATTCTTCTTCACGTCCTTTACTTACTACATTTACACTTAAGTGCTTTTAAAATGCAAAAGCATACATTTTAAAAGTAATTGTATTAATATAGTTTCAATTTATCCAATCTAATAGTAGTAATATTATGATTTGACAACATAAATATTAAGTTTATAAAAGTTTTATCAAGTAATATTCATTATCCGTTATTATTATGTAAACGCATACGGATAATATAATATTATGATTTATACAGCGGAGAAATTTTAATTATAAATCCACTGCCTTGCTAATTTGTTTAGCCTACATATTATTTAAATAAAATCTTCTTACAATGATATATCCGAGTTCGAGTCAACACGAACGGCGTTATTCATTAATCAGATAAAAATATAAACTTATTTTCTTATCTGTTCAATGAATAAAAACTGTATAGAACTAATGAAAGACAATACGAGAGAGCAAGACTTTTGTAGGCCAGACGAATTATAATCGCTATTTTCCGGCAAGTCTCTTAATCTTTGAAAACTCGGATAAATTAATTCGTTACAAGTGCCTATGGTACGCAATATTCACTGATGCATTAACAACTAATTTAAGACATTCGAGCTCGGTAAGAAACTTAAGAAGGATTTATTAAATTTTGGATTCAAAATTATAATTACTAAACATTAACCTTTCCTCGTGATTTTATATTCTAAAGTATAAACCCTTTCAGACACCGCATGAACACTATAATTTACATTACAATTATTTATAATATAATTCCGATGATAACTCCCGTTGTTTTAATGTTAGAACAGTGATACAAACACCAAAACACACAAAAATTCCAATAAATAAATATTCCATCACATTTTTTGTAGTGTCAATATTTTCTCTGTTTTTTATTGCTCTGAATATCGATGTACAGTCTAATTCCATAACGCAAAAATTGGTTTCATTTATCTCTTCAAACGAACAGAAAAAAATTGGATCTGAAAGGGAAGGCCTACTTGACCATGTCACAGAAACAGATTTTCGAAATTTCTAAGTATTCTTAGAATGACATATATATAAGAATATAAGAATGACAAGTCACTTTAACAATATTATTAAATCGTAACAACTCGAGTCAAAAGTGATGTTTCGTTTTACAGGAGTTGTGTTTGTATAAAACGCAGACATAATTTTACTGCGATATTTTATTATTACAGAAAATTAATGAAAATATTAAGCATGCATGTTCAAAGTCTACTAGTACCGACTTTGGTCGAACGAGAAGACAGTTTGAATTTATATTTTATTGCAGTTGTAGTTTATACGATTCGGTATAGTTTTAAGGGCACACTTAAAACATGTGAACAAATTCTGCCAAAATCAAAATAGTTGTAAAACAAAATACACAAGTTTGTGAAGAAAAATAAACCACATGTGTGTTTAACTTGGACTGTAAAACGTACACAATTCTACGCATGTGCAAAAATAACATAACTGGTATTATCATGTAGGTATAGCGTATAGAAAAAAGAACTTGTACTTATTTTAAGGGTTAAAACAAATCCAAGATACGAGTTTCTCGTATCACAGCTATATGTACATCGTAATGACAGTCAACGGAGATAAATTATACAGCTATAACACACTTACGGAAAAACTTCGATATCACATAAAATATGCATAAATAAAAATATATTAAGGATTGACCTCTTTTTGGCAAAGCGATGAGGTGCACCGCCTTCGAGTGTTCGGTGTGACTCGAGTTGTTCCAATAAAATACAAACATATGAGCACATAATACTATTGAAACGTCGATTTATCATCACAACTTGATACTCCCTGTACAACCTTTATTGGCCCGTTCTCTTATTAACATTATATACATATATGTTTGCCAATCCATTAGTACAGGTACATTTAATATATTATTATTATCCACTACCGATCGTGATTGATGAAGACTACAACTCGAATGGGCCAATAATTATTATAATATACGTACTTCTACTAAGTTGTAAACACATTTTAACTTTCATCGTTCCTACAATGATGTATACTTGAATAATACTTCATTAAACTCAGAGTTGTAGTATTTTATAATAATCGTCAACATATTTTTAGTAAAACGTTTGCATTTAAACGTAGCTCGTGAGTACTCATAATTCACTAATTATACAATGTTGGTGAAAAAGGACATAAGTAAATTTTGACCCTTTTGTGTTAAGTCAATATAAGTGTTTGGTTTTCTGGGAAAAAGGGTACAAGTAAATATTTTTTTACGCAAAAAAACATAAAGGTCATTATATATTTGATACGAACAATATTAAAATAAAAATATGAAGTTGAGAAAGTATATTGACTTATTTGTAAAACAATTGTATAGGATTAACACAATTTTGCTAAAAAAAAAATAACACATAGAATATGGAATGTTTTTTGAGTATTGAAAAATAGCCAAAATGTATTTGTTCTCTCTTTTGTCTCTTTTCATTTAAACCGTTCATATGTACGTTCATAGTATACGCATGAATTATTTTGAGTATATAACCGGATATTATACTTGTAAGATAATTATTGTATGAATATTGATTCTGTATACTTCTAAGTGCTGAGTAGATTAAACAATTAAACAATTCAACATAACATAATATGTTTGTGTTGAAATATTAGAGGGAAAATCTGGAACTAGTAAACGCTGGCTTAAAGTTTCCTATACGATTAATAAATTCATATAGTTTTACCTTCTATCCTGCAGCTAAAATTATAAAGATATAGAAGTTGTGTTTAGATTTCATCCGGTATATCATTCCAAGTGTTCGTGAATTGATTAATTGAGCGACTCCAATATTATTTAATTATTCCAAAGGAAATTTACAAAAACCCTATAAATGAATACAGGTAAGAAAATTTTCATTTTTATGTATTTTTTAATACCTTTTGAAAAGCGGGAAATCGGAGGTCATGGACCCCCCCCCCCCCCGGGTGGCGATTTATGTCTGCCAATGTTTAAAAAAAATTGGTTGAAAACCCCACTTTTAAATTATTTCAATAATATGTTTGAACGATTTTCAAATAATTTTCACTTAAATTATTTGTTAACTAGGTAGATGATTATTTACAAGCATCTCTATTCAAATAACGCACTGATTTTTTTTTTATGTTATTATGGTACACTAAATAATGGTCGAGAAATAAAAATGTATCAATTATTGTTTTTGGGTAAACGTTAAAACGCGGATTGAGACAAGTT